TAATTAAAAAGAACCTGGTAGCATTATAAATCATTATAAAGGCATTAAAAGGAGGAGCATTTGGAAGGGACAGGCAGAGCCCCTGCAGCAAGTGCTCTGGGTTAGCAGGGCTGTGCTGCTAGCATGGCTCGTCTGACAGGAGCCTTGTTGCATTGAATCCAGTTGTCCCTTCTTCTGAGCTTGCAGCACATTCTGGGTAAAAGAAAGAACATGAGAATAAAGGAATTCCTTTTTTCCCCTCCAAAGTAAAATATATATACATAGTTATTGTATACAATTACCCATGTTAATATATTATATATAAATGTGTATATATATACATTTATACACATATATAAATGTATGTATATGATATTTATTACTACTATTTGATATAATTATTTTAATGTTATATTTCTATCATGAACCATATTCCACTGGACCTTTGGCATTTCCCTAGTCATCTGAAGACTAGTATGAATGTTTTGAACTTTTTCAGATTGGGAGGGTAGTTGGTGATTTGCTACCTCCAGTAAATGCTTGCATTTACAAGGTCACAGGACATTGCTAGCCATACTAATTCTGATATTTTCTTTTGTTTTTCTATCCCTGGCTAGTAACTATAGTAAGAAGCTATTACTCAACAAAAACTCTCTTTATTATTCACTAGAGATTTTTTAAAATGTATTTATCAAGTACCATTTGGGCGACTATTCAGTGTTTGATTTAAATCCCAGGTTCTGTTTCTGTTTTAATACATTTTGTCTTCTCACTCTAATTCAAATGAGAGGCATGCTTGCCTTTAGTAAGTGCCAAGTGTAAATAAGTAATTTTGAAAAGGAGACACTTTAAGAACATATTAAGGTCATTAGTATTTACTAGATATTAATAAATGTTGAATTAAAAAAGTATAATCTTATGATACAGTTTCATTAACTTGGGCTGTTCTTTATTCCTTTAATTTACCTTACCCCTAATTAGGACAGTTAACCATGATTTCAAAGTTTAAAAGAGTAATAGGATTTCAAAGATGAAACCATTATGTATGGATATAGAATGTGTGGTAGCAGGAACATTAGTCATAATCTTGCTAGACTTGTGTGTTTATTTATGCTTTGGAAATACTTCCTGTTGCTATTCATCTCCTTCTTATCTGCTGGTACTACAGAGAGCATGTAAATGCCATCCGTTATTTCTAAGACATTGAGGAAACCAGCCATGACATACCAGAGAAGCTTTGATTCACCACCTGTTGCTCTCGGGGAATGGTTGGAAACTTAATGAGCATCCACATGCCTTCCACAGCTCTCAGGAAATGAGCAAAGTACCTAAATACAGACAGCAGACTCATCCATCTATCACCTCAAGGTCCCACTCAGAGGAAAGTGCTAACACCATAGGCATACAGTGTAAAAGTCACTAAGAGCAGGCGTAACTTAATTTCCAACTTCTCTTAAGCTTCCTGCACAAGTATTTGAAAGTTCTCTTACCATGTGGAAGACATTTGGAATTCCTATTTCATGCATTCATGGTTCATATAGTGTCAAGATGTTCAGCTGGGAAAATTAAATTATGTACAATGTACCATGCACACATCTATCTTCTGGAATAAGACTTGAGCTCAGAAAATTAGTTGTATGAAAAAGTCTTCAAATATTTTAAAGGGTAAAATTTAGTATCACTGGCTTTTCAAATATCAAAGGATAAGATTCTAAATACCAAAAACAAAGTTTTTGTTTCATTCCCTATACATATTTTTTTTTCGTGTAAATACATGGCCTACCCCTTCATATGGTTACATTTCCCCAGTAATTGAGTAGCATAGACCAGCAACTTCAGAACAAACAACCAGTGTGCAGATCCTGGTTCTCCCCCTTACCAGTGTATGATCTGGGGAAAGTTCTGTAATCTCTCTAAGCTTCACATTTCCTTTTAAGATGCAAATCATCACTGATCACAATACAGAAAACTGTGAGAATTAAATGAATTAATATATGTACAGCTCTGAAAGTATCACCAAGCACATAGTGAATGCAATATAAATGTTGGCTATTGTTATTTTTCTTGGGGAAATGGGGAACAATGACTGTGTATCTATCTGTTCTATATGATCTTTTGTCATGTGAATAATATTAACCTATAGAATGTACAGCCATTTATATTCTATGCTAATAGATGTAAACTGAAAACTCCTTTGCAGTGATAGGTTAACATGACCTTCAGAGCAGTAAGACACCCAATTTCTACTGACACATGATGTCATACCACTCCCCTTTCTTATTAGTGAAGTGTATTCTAGGAATAAGGAACGAAAGGGCACAGGACTCAAGGGATAAGACATGACACTATCAAAGTTCCCTCCTGACACTGTTCACAGGTAGAGCAAATGTAAAACTTGACACAATACTGTAATGATGAAAATACTTCCGTGATGCTCAACCCAAGGTACTGTTCACAAATACTGATTTTCGATGCTTACTTTTTTCCTTTCAGCATATACTACCAGTTTATCTCACCCAGGAAGTCAATTATGGGGGAAAATTATATATATATACATATACATATACATATACATATACATATATATGGCAAGGGAGATATAATACATTTTTTAAAATGACATCAAATCAGAAAAACAAATCATTTAGTGGCAATGAAATTTTTACAGTGTATCAGCCCTCTAAGCTTGATGGTTTTACTCTGGCTTCCACATCAGTGACAATTTGACATTTAGATCAAGACCTTGAGGACTGGGGCGGGGGGTCTGCGACAGTCACTAACTCTTTATACCATGTCATATGAAATCAACTTTGACGTGAAAGCATATGAAATCTAACTTTGACAGGCGGCAGAAACATTCACGTTGGCATTCTTAAGTATAGTGCTCAGTAATCTAAACAGAAATGTATTTTCTAAATCCACTGAAGGCAAGGATCCTTCCTTTAAAACATTAAAAAATAGCAGAGGAAAATTTTGGAAGTTCTATAGGATATGGAGTGAATTCCTAGAAGAGAAAAAAAAAAGAAAAAGAATACTAGTTAAAATAATGACATTGAGTTATTGCTACTTACAATTACTTTCTGCTTGCACAAAGTTCATCTGAGAAGTTGAGTAATTTAGAGTCCAATTAGGAAACTCATACAACCAGAAATTAGAGATTTTTAGCAGCCATAATGAAACCTCCAGTAAACACACCGAATGTGCTTTCATGATGTAATCCTGTTTTAAGAAAAAAAAAAAGTTATATTTTCTGGGTTTTAAATAAATATGCTATTATAGTTCATTTCTGACAAAGCCACCAGGATGTTTTAATTTATACTCAAATTTGATCCTTAAGGGAAATAAGTATTTTAAGGACAGATTCTACTTCCTCATTCTTTTTTTTCTCAATAATTTTATAAATCAATCATTACTCCAACTGGATGCCTAGAGGTTCTTATTACAACAAATGTTATTGCTGTAATCCTCACAAGCAGGTATCATGCTGACTTGAATTCTAATTAGCCTTTAAGCAAGAAGACTATTGTTTGGTTAATGCATTCAGTGTCAAGACACATTAATCAAAATTATTGGCGATGCTTTTAGCACCCAGGCAACTCAGTACATATATGTCAAGCCCCGTTGGACTATTTTTTGGGCAATGAAAATAAAGTTGGATCTGCTTGGGAATAATAAATATCATGGAAAATATGACTTGATTTAAGCTGGTATATTACAGAATTTTTCAGACAGGTTAAAAAATAATATTTTTGCTCCTCTAATTGATAATGACTTACAAAAATAAAACAAATGGTAATAAATGAAAAACCAGAGATTTTTCAGTGGGCAAGAGCTAATCATTTAGAACTTTCTGGCCACTATTCTGTTTAACAGATGGTAAGT